GAGATGGGAGGGAGGAGAGGGAGGGAGGAGAGGGAGGGAGGAAGGAAAGAACGAGAGAGGGAGGAAAGAGGGAGGGTGGAAGAGGAGAAAGTAAGGAAAGAGGGAGGGTGGGGAAGAGAGAAGTAAGAAAAAAGGGAGGGAGGGAGGGTTAGAGGGAGGAAGGAAGGAAGGAAGGAAGGAAGGAAGGAACAGCAACAGCAGTTAGATATATATGTGGTTCCATAGTGCTTTATGGCACACTCTGGGTAGTTTACAATGTCAGCATATTGCCCCAATAATCTGGGTCCTCATTTTACCGACTCCCCCGCAAAAGGACGGAAGACTGAATCAAACTTGAGCTATGTACACCTTATGAACAAAATATCATTACTCGTTTTGCTACATGTTTTCAATTAGCTCATCTCAAAACGACCTAAAATAATAATAAAATAATTGATAGGATCTTCTTGAATTGACACTGTATTGTTTGGGTTGAAAGCCGTCCAATCATAAAAGTTGGCTAAGAAATGCATAGGATAAAACAGATGCTTTTTAAAAAGAGAATTATCATACAATTAGTACATTTCCCATAAGTGAATGCAGAAAGTTGCTGGGGTGGTGGTGGTGGGGGACAAACACACATAACTTTTCAATTGCATTTATTTTTCAAATGGAATTGACAGAACTGGCTTTATTTATTAAATGTTCATCTCCCAAGCATAGTTAACACAGTAGCTGATGAAAATAATCCTGACTGCTATTTTTCAAAAGATATGGCTTACATCAATTTATAGGCTTTCTTTCACATCGTACAATACATTAAAGAGGGAAAAATTTCCAAATTATAAAAGTTTATGTTTGAAGGCTTGAGCAAATGAATAGTGGGTAAAAACAGGAGCATTTGTATATCTATAAACTGCAAAAAAAAAAAAATTTCCTACTTCCAAATGCCTTAACTGGATCCAAGCCAGACAAACACAATCAATTGTACCTGTGTGTTGCATTTTTTAAATTTGCATCCTGAGCTACGTGAATAGCACAAGAATAAACTGTCTCGCCAACAGAAGTTGTTGTATCTCCCGTTCAGAGGTGGGTTCCTACCGGTTCGCACCAGTTCGGTAGAACCGAATTCGTGAAATCTACCAAACCGGTTAGAAGAGGTTCCACCAGTGGACCCGGAAAGCAGGCCACACCTACAGAAGAGGTTCCAAAAAATTTTGAAACNCGCCACCTCAGCTCCTAAACACTTTGGTGTTTAGTCATGCCGGACACATGACCACGGAGACATCTTCGGACAATGCTGGATCTTCGGCTTTGAAACGGAGATGAGCACCGCCCCTTAGAGTCAGGAACAACTAGCACGCCTATGCGGGGGAACCTTTACCTTAGTCGTTATGAATTCATTTCCAGTTGCTTCTAACTGTGTAAGACAGGGGTGTCAAACTCAAGTCGTCACGGCAGTGTCATATGATGGGTCGTGACTTTTCTCCTCTTCGCTAAACCGGGTGTGGCCGTGGCCAACACGTGATGCATCCAGCCCGTGGACCGCACGTTTGAGACCCCTGGTGTAAGAGCTTAGTAAATGAGGTGTGAAAAAAAACCCTCAAAAGTTGCCTATGCCTTCATTAGCAACAATAGCAACACAATCACTGAATATAAAAATCCCAAGGAGATCATGCTGGGCAATTACCGTAACACAAAATCGGCAGCGTCGATCTCCTGGCCACATCCGCTGTTCTTCAAAATTCCTCCGTTTCCAACCACCGCACATTTCTTAAACTGGGAACGAGAATAGGGCATCTCCTGGAGCAACCGAAAAATAGGAGCAATTTTTGGAACAGTCGTACACATTTATCCCAAAGGTGCTCTTTTTTCCCCCCCCCCAAGAGGCAACTGGACTTAACAGGGTTGGAAGAAACATCTGGGTTCAGTTCCAAGTGGGGAGAAAGACACTGGATACATGGTGGCTGTTTGGGAAGATGGTTTAATGGCGGACAGGGCCACGTGGTTTGAGGTCCTGGGCAAAGAAAAAAAGCACTTGGGCGGGAGTGAGAGAGAGATTTATACTCTCTCTTGGGCCCCGCCTTGGAGCTTCCTGTTCCTGTGTAGGAAATGTATTCTGTTTGGTTGTCAGACTCCCATGGGGTCCTGCAGGGGTAACCTTGTAGTGTCTTGAGCCCCAAGCTTGGTTGAATCTTGCAGGGTGATGATGAAGGGCCTTTGGGCAATTGCTATGATGGCTGAGGGCTAATCCTATCTTTGTTGGATCTTGAGTGAGGGCATTTGCCTATGAATAGACCTAGCTATCTCTTAAGTGCAGACCTCTGCTGTGGGCTATTGAGGAGGGTGGGGGCTATTAAGAGTGAGTCNCTTGTGCTAATCAGGCTGTGCTGAAACTGAAACAGGCTGTTTGCGAGGAGGCAAATTGCTGAGAGGCAGAGGCGGATTTTTTTCTTGTTTTCCTCCCCAAAAGCTAGGTGCGTCTTATACTTCGGAGCATCTTATACTCCGAAAAATATGGTAATTCCCATCCATTTCAAAAAGAAATTAAAGATGTCGTTTGCCAGATCAGCCACCTCCTGTTCACAACTTTTGCCTCTCGAACTTTCCATGACGTGATAATCATGTTGTCCCATCAATGCAGATTTTGTGCATGGTGGGTCTAAAGAATTGTCATCTTCTGCCTTAGAAGATGGGCCATTTATATCTTGTGACTGCCCTGCGCGCTGATTAAAAGGTAAAAGTTTCCCTCTCCAGCCATATCCAACTCTAGAGCCTGTTGCTCATTTCCGAGGGAGCCAACTTTGTCCAAAGACACTTCTGTGGTCATGTGGCCAACATGGCTATACGCCAAAGGCACAGAGGACGCTGGTACCTTCCCACCAAAGTGATACCTATTAATCTACTCGCATTTGCATGCTTGTGCTCTGATTAAACTAGGCTAAATCATAACACGTGCTGTGCTTTAATGTTTTTCAACCTCCCACTGTCCTCTGAAAAGTCAAAATGGGAGGGAGGGGTGTCCCTCTGGACATCTATCCTACTGGATTAGAGCGAAAGTTTATGTGGTCCATAGTTTTGATTCCTGAAGGACCTTGCACAACGTTCAGAGATGACATAACGAAGCTGGGGAAACTATCATTCCGAATGTTTTACGCAAGAGAGAAAGAGTGGTAGGAGAAGGGCAGGCAGAATCTGAAGGTGATGGAGTCAAGAGAGGAACCAGCCAGGAATCCTTATGTTCCCACAAGCGGTTCAAATCCAAAACGTGTTGAATTCCATTAACTGTTACCTAGCATCAATTTAGTGCTGACTATTAACTCGGCAGGTAGGACTTTCCAAACTTATGGTCTGTTCCAAGTCTATCTTTCTCTCTCAACCAGGAGTGGGATTCAAAAATTTTAGCAACTGGTTCCATGCCGTCGCTGGGTGGGCGTGGCCATGTCTTTGCAACTACCGGTTCGGCGAACCCGATGTAAAATTAGCATCCAGTTCACCCAATCCGGTCCGAACCGGCTGAATCCCACCCCTGCTCTCAACCCCAAGCCCAAGTGAATTCAAATCTCCTGCCTGCCCCCGTATCAGTTCGCTACTTATGGAAAGAAGGGCTTAATGTCAGGGGTGGAGAATCAGGACTAAATTGGTGCTAGATAAGTTAAAGGGATTCAAGATGGATGAGGACGTAGCCTACTTGTGAGAATATAAGGACTCCAAGCTGATTCCTCTCTTGACTTCACCTTGAAGGCTCTCTCCTACACCTGCCACTCTTCCCCTCTTGCATAAAATCCTCAGGATGATGGTTTTCCCAGCTTCATTATGTCTTCTGTGGACACTGTGCAGGATTCTCATAGATAGAAGCTATGGACCAGGTAACCTTTTGCTCTGATCAGACAGGATAATTGTCCAGTGGGACATCTCATCCAGGGGTGGGATTCTACCAGTTCGGACCGGTTCGAGCAAACCAGTAACTCCCAATGATCAGCTGGGAGCGAACCAGGTCGCTCTGATGATCAGATGGTGCCCACCTGCCTTCCCACGCTATTTTCCTACCTTTCTTCTCAGCTGATTCACGCAGCAGAGTGGATTGGCGCGCAATCAGCTGTGTTACACCTCCGAAGAAACCCGGAAGTGAAGATTTGTTCAAATGGCACACATACGAGCAAATCGTGCGATCACCGAACCGGTTGTTAAATTGGGAGGATTCCACCACTGATCCCCTCCCCTCCATGTCACCTTTTAATTATTGTATCAGTGCAATGCCCTAAAGTAGGGTTATCCAAACTTGGCTATTTAAGACTTGTGGACTTCACAACTCCCAGAATTCCCCAACCAGTATGGGAGTTGAAGTATTCTCTCAGCTCTATTACCCTCCAACTGATCAGGCCAGGTTTGATCCGTCTTCTCTTCCAAGAGTGTGTTTCTATCCCACAGTTTCTTCACGTACTTTAGAAGTTCCTTTTTGGCTCCAGAGAATTTCATCTGTATCTACAGTCTTCCTGGTTCTGTGTCAGTAGAACATTTGATACTGAAATGGGGAGGGATTTAGGGGTATTCACCCCAAGATTTATACAGGAAGTAAGCTGAACATGGCTAAGAGCAATGTGTTAATTTGAGAAGGCAGTCAGTGGGAGGGAGAGAAACAGATGTGTATTCTTTCAAACACCGCTGGCCATCTTCTTCACAACAGTGTTACCTGTGGGGTCACTAGAATGGAAGGGAGGGAGGGAGGAAAGAAGAAGGAAGGAGAGAGGGAGGGAGGGAGGGAGGAGGAGAGAGGAAGGGAGGAAGGTGGGAGAAGAGAGGAGGGGAAAAGAGCAGAGGAGAGGAAGGACAAAGGAGAAGGGAGGGAGGGATGGAAGGAAGGGAGAGAGGAGGGGAAGAGAGGAGAGGAAGGACAAAGGGGAAAGAAGGAAGGAAGGGAGAGGAGGGGAAGAGAGCAGAGGAGAGGAAGAACAAATGGGAACGAAGGAAGGGAGGGAGGGAGGGGAAGGGAGGGAAGGAGGGAGGGAGAAGAGAGATGGGGAAGAGAGCAGAGGAGAGGAAGGACAAAGGGGAAGGAAGGAAGGAAGGAAGGAAGGACAGAAAGATGTACTCCATGACCCCAAAAAAGATGACAGAGCTAAGGGGATACACCATGCTTCTTACATTGAAGCTTTTCACAAATCCTGCCCTAATCCACAGCTGATGTGCAAAACAACCCATCTGAATTCCCTGTTTGACAGGTGTGGCGCCCTCCTGGAAATGAAATACTGATTCCCTAAAAACGATGTGCTCTATTTCTACTGTAAAATCTTTAGCTAATGTGCTTTGCTTCTTGGAGGCCCCCCAAGGCAGGGTGCTCATCCCTGCCATACTAAGATGTGCTTCACCCAAACGACAACAGCCCAAAATGGCTGACGAGGGGGGAAAAAAGAGGGGGCGGGTCACCAACTCTGAAGAAAAGCAAAACCTGACGAAAAATATTGCATATTTTTTTTCTCGAAGCGTTAAAATTCGTTTGCACGGTATGCCTGGCCCAGCGGACATGTTTATCCTTGCTCGCCAATTACTTTTCTGCTTCAGGATGTGGCAAAGGACCCCCCCAAAAAACCCTATATTTCGCTTTTTTTAAAAAAAAGAAAAAACAGAAATCCATCCGTTGCATTGGATCAGGAGTAGCCACAGGCATCCGTGTGGACCCTTAAAATCCCCCTGCTGTGCAGACGGAGAAAGTTGAACATCTCCGAAGGCATGGCATGGAATCCGGGTCGAGGTTTGACGTTGTCGTAGTAATGGTGAGTTATAAATATCCCTGAGGGGTTCATGGGGAAACCCCAAAATCCAAAGAGGTGCACCTCTTCACAGAGCTCCAAGGCGGCCGTCACGAGAATCAGCCCTGTGGTGATACGCTTGGCCCGCACCCCTTGAGTCAGCCAGTAGCGGGAGACATTGATGAGATATTTGGGGTGGAAAAAGTAGACGGCCTTCTTCGATTGAAAGTCATCCAGGACGTACCTGACCCTGAGGGAGACGTCGGTGTTGTGGGTGTTGTAGAAGGCGGGAAGCAACACGGAGGAGTTTTCGTAGGATTTCAGGACCTGGTAAAAAGGCCTCCGCCATTTCTCCAGCCTCTGGAACCTGGTATGATTTGCAGAAGGGGAGGAGGAGGAGAAGAGTAAACAAAGAGTAAAACACGGAGCAATCTAATATTTGGCCTTTAAAATTCTCCTCTGATAAAAAAGCATGTTGCAATTAAAAGAGTTTTATGGTGGACTTCTTGGGGTCTGTGAGACAGGAACTCCTCATTTAAATGTCAAAGGTGTGGAAAAGGAAGGAAAATCAGAAATTGTGTTTTTTTGTCAAATGGCAAGGTCTTTTTTTTGTTTTTTTGTTTTTCCTTAAGATCCAGCTCTGGAACCCTCTGAGCCCTCTGGAGACCAAAGACTTGGCTTCTGAGTCATGTTTCGGTTCCAGACACTATAAAATCAGGGATAAAGGCTAAATAAATCTCCTTTACTGTTCAGAACAGGTGGAGTCATCTTAAGGCGGAAGGAAGGAAGGAAGATAAAAGAAAGACGGAAGGAGGAAGAAAAGAAGGAAGGAAGATAAAAGAGGGAGGAAAGGAGGGTAAAAAGGAAGGAAGAGGGAGGGAGAGAGGGAGGGAGGAAGATAAAGAAAGATGGAGGGAGCGAAGAAAAGGAAGGAGGATAAAAGAAAGAGGGAGGAGGGAGGAGGAAGAAGGAAGGAAAATAAAAGAGGGAGGGAAGGAAGGAAGATAAAAGAAAGAGGGAGGGTGGAAAATAGGAAGGAAGATAAAAGAGAGAGGGAGGGGAGAGGGAAGAAAAGGATGGAAGGAAAATAGGAAGGTAAAAGAAAGAGGGGAAAAGGAGGGAGGGAAGGAAGGAAGATAAAAGAGGGAGGAAGGAAAATAGGAAGATAAAAGAGGGAGGGAGGTAAGGAAGGACAGCCAAGGAAAGGAAGCTAAGGAAAGAAAGCTAAAGTAGGGAGGGAGGGAATGAGGGAGGGAGGAAAGAAAAGCAAGGGAAAGCAAGAACACAGAAGAAGAGAACATGCGTGGGCTGAAGTCCACATGCATCCTTTCAACCGCACGCATTTCCCCCGATGACAAGGAAGCTCAAATGACTCTCACTTCCAGTTGCTATGAAATTACAGCGTCGAAAGCCACGAATTGCCAGGGCAAGTAGGACGACGCGGCTCCCTCTTTCTCAGGCCTGCGGCTTCCACAGAGGCTGAGGAGGGGAAAGGAGGCTGGGAAACGACTGACCTTTCCGTAATTATGCTGGGGTTGACCGTCACAACGTTAGTCTTGACACCAACATCTGCAACGTATTTCCTCGATATGGGTGGCAAATTGCATCTGTAGGATGGAAAAGATCTTAGGGTTATTGTTTTAATGGTAACCCTCTCCCTCCTCATCCAAAACAAACACCAGTTTGCACAGCGCCACAAACAGCCAACCGAGTCAGTCTACCAGATGGGGACGCCGAGGCCTTTGGGTTTAGACCAGGGGTCGGCAACCTGAAACACTCAAAGAGCCACAAAGGTCCTAACCGGAAGCCCCCCCCCCTCCCCGTTCAATTCTGGAGCCAACCGTAAATCTGGTTTCCCCACCATAGAGTCTCCTCCTAGTACTGCATCCTTTTTCCTCTATGTGTTCTAACCGAAAGCCTATCAATTGTGGAGCTCACCAAAAAAAACCACCCCTTGCCACAGAGTCTCATCCAGTAACCGGAAGTTTCTCTCAAAATTGTGGTGCCGACTGGCAACAGGGAGCCGCAGCAAAGGGATGAAAGAGCCACATGCGGCTCCAGAGCCGCAGGTTGGTTTAGATGAAGGGCTTTATTGATTGATTTCAATTTAGAACTGGCTCAACTACAGACAATTCTGGGCAGCTTATAGCAATAGCACTTAGACTTACCCACGTTTCCCCCAAAATAAGACAGGGTCTTATTTTCTTTTGACTCCCCCCCCCGAAATAAGTGATTGGCCTTATTTTTGGAGAGGTCTTATTATTTTTGAGGTACAGGAGGTGGCAACTGTGGTCACCTCATGGCTGCTGCTGTGTTGCAATATTTTCGTAGAGGTCTTATTTTGGGGGGAGGGTTTATTTTAGCACATGCGCTCAAAAGCTCAATTGGGCTTATTATCCGGGGAGGTCTTATTTTCAGGGAAACAGGGTATAAACCGCTTCACAATGTTTTACAGGCCTCTCTGCAGAGCCAGCCTATTGCCCCTAACAATCTGGGCCCTCATTTTACCTGCCTCAGAAGGCTGAGTCAACCTTGAGCCTGGGAAGATATTTTAAACTGTACTGAACAATAAAATTCAGTATTCCTCTCGGAGCAGTGGATTGGTGATCTTGGTCTGAGGGGTAACGACATCATACCCCTGTCGTGGTCAGACCACTTCCTACTGAGGCTCGGAGACCAAACCCCCACTGTAGGGAGGAGGACCCGACCAGGTGGTTCCCCCCAAGGCGACTTATGGAACCGTTAAGGTTCCAGAC